CCTTCGTACTGCAGGCTGACTCCCCTGTCATTACCTCCCGTGGCCACCAGTCCACTCACACTGTAGATTGACTCTACTGTCATTACCTCCCGTGACCACTAGTCCACTCACACTGCAGGCTGACTCCCCTGTCATTACCTCCCGTGGCCACTAGTCCACTCACACCGTAGATTGACTCTACTGTCATCACCTCCCATGACCACTAGTCCACTCACACTGCAGGCTTACTCCCTTGTCATTACCTCCCGTGGCCACTAGTCCACTCACACCGTAGATTGACTCTACTGTCATCACCTCCCGTGACCACTAGTCCACTCACACTGCAGGCTGACTCCCTTGTCATTACCTCCCGTGGCCACTAGTCCACTCGCACTGCAGGCTGACTCTCCTGTCATTACCTCCCGTGGCCACTAGTCCACTCGCACTGCAGGCTGCCTCCCCTGTCATTACCTCACGTGGCCACCAGTCCACTCACACCGTAGATTGACTCTACTGTCATTACCTCCCGTGACCACTAGTCCACTCACACTGCAGGCTGACTCCCTTGTCATTACCTCCCGTGGCCACTAGTCCACTCACACCGTAAATTGACTCTACTGTCATCACCTCCCGTGACCACTAGTCCACTAGCACTGCAGACTGACTCCCCTGTCATTACCTCCCGTGGCCACTAGTCCACTCGCACTGCAGGCTGACTCTCCTGTCATTACCTCCCGTGGCCACTAGTCCACTCGCACTGCAGGCTGACTCTCCTGTCATTACCTCCCGTGGCCACTACTCCACTCGCACTGCAGGCTGACTCTCCTGTCATTACCTCCCGTGGCCACCAGTCCACTCCAACTGCAGGCTGACCCCCTGTCATTACCTTCCGTGGCCACTAGTCCACTCGCACTGCAGGCTGACTCCCCTGTCATTACCTCCCGTGACCACTAGTCCACTCACACTGCAGGCTGACTCTCTTGTCATTACTTCCCGTGGCCACTAGTCCACTCACACTGCAGGCTGACTCTACTGTCATTACCTCCCGTGACCACTAGTCCACTCACACTGCAGGCTGACTCCCTTGTCATTACCTCCCGTGGACACTAGTCCACTCGCACTGCAGGCTGACTCCCCTGTCATTACCTCCCGTGACCACTAGTCCACTCACACTGCAGGCTGACTTCCCTGTCATTACCTTCCGTGACCACTAGTCCACTCGCACTGCAGGCTGACTTCCCTGTCATTACCTTCCGTGACCACTAGTCCACTCGCACTGCAGGCTGACTCCCCTGTCATTACCTTCCGTGGCCACTAGTCCACTAGCACTGCAGGCGACGCTTGATGTCAAGCACGCGTCTGGTACCATGCCCATCATGACGACTTCTGGTGTGACATCGTGGCGGAATCCCCGTTGCCACCCACGGAGCAGGCCCCACATTTGCGTCACACACACACACAGAGATACAACCTGACAGAAATGAGCCACCGTCCTGTCGTGAGATCCGATTAAGCTGTGCCGGGATACACCGTGCAACGGGCTGAGCTGGCTTAACAGGTATTGGAAGTTCGGTGCTGATGATCGACACGTGAGTTCGGTCAGGAGGCAGCTCGCTCATTCGCCTTCGTTTCGTTATCGTCTGGAAATCTCTCCCCACCAGCTGTCGACTCCCTTGCCCCAGTTACAGTTGAGGTTCAAGACCTGGGTTTGAACAGGGTCACACGCATACAGATACCGCGTACCATGCTCTTTCGAGTGAGGCCTTCGACTTATACTCTTTGTTTTTTTCGGTAAAGTCACGTAGGTAAAAAATTAAATCACGACGTTTCGGGCGCAACACAAGCGTCCTTCTTTAGGTGGGGACAACTTAGCGAAAGCACACCGCTTGTGTTGCGCCCGAAACGTCGTGATTTAATTTATTTTAATTTTTTACCTACGTGACTTTACCGAAAAAAAAACAAAGAGTATGAATCCTTGCAGTCACGAAAACTTAGAATCTAGAATGAATGCCTTCGACTCAGTGGCCTTCCAGATATGTTTCAAACAGCAGAAGGTGTTAAATCGCACAGACTCTGGACTGATATCGACCTTCTGGGTCTCATCGGTGGTGTTAGACCCGCGAACTGAAACCGGAGGTATTTGTTTAGCAAGCACGACTGCTGATGAGACATTTGCTTATTTTCATGGTTTGCAAAATGTGTAGATATGCGCTCTGAAGCAGCCACGGCTGACATCGGTGACGAGTGCTGTCTGAACCCGACCCTGGCCCCCCCCCCCACCCGCACCAACCAGCACGGGCAGTTTGTGGTCCAACACCTCCCACGGCCAAGATGGCTTTGGGAAGGTCTTCATCCAGCAGTGGATTGCTAAAATGACGATACATTATAAGGAGCGGACGTACATAGGTGTGTTTCAATACCAAAAACATTATCCGCAGTAGCGCACAATTAACACAAACAAATTAAAACTCAGTTTAGGGGAGGGGAGGGATGGTGGGGGGAGTCCCTGGTGCAGCCGATGGAAGCCCGTGGGGTTCCATGCAGCAGCTGGCGAGCTCTTCAGAACCCCGGCGTGCGAGATGCCCCCGTGGTGGCGATGCGCTTCCAGCATCTTCTCTCACTCTGCCACGACGTCCCCCATCCATTGACTCGGGCGCCATGAACCTGCGCCGAAGGCGGTGGGGGGGTGCGGTGGGGGTGAGGGGGGACAGGGGACTCTGGTGGGGGGAGCGGGGCGGACTGGAGGAGTCACGACTCACCGCGCGCCCTCTGCACAGCTCCCAGGCGCGAGGTTGTGCTCTGTCGCTATGAACAGCTGGTAGGTCACCAGCATTTGTTCAAGCAAGACAACTCTGCTGATAAGACACTGAATGTCAACACCGGTTCTATTTGCTTCTATTGAACCATTAACTGACAAAAATCACTCCCAGAAGGCCATGTGTCTGATGGGATGTAAAGATACTTTTATTTTTACAGTGGGGAGACAATTATAGGAAACAGGCGTATTGTCTGCTTATTTATTGTATTAGATTCTCCATAACTTTGCTCATGAGTATTGTATCTACAGTGTCACTCTTAAGTGCACTAAATTCCCAAAGACACAATTGTTTGAAGGATGGACGTGGATGAACGTCGCGATATGGCCAAGGGGAGGCGCTAGGGCCGAATGTCTCTGCGTTCCTGGTTTCTCAGTGAAGACTTTGACGCAGTCTAAATTGCAACCACTTTGAAAGAAACCGATGCCAACGAGGCCACGTGGTGGTGCTGTGGTGACTGAGACACCCCGTTCTCTTTGCCATGGTCAATCCACTGCTGGAGGCCCCCCCCCCCCCACCAAGCCAGCGTGAGCCCGCACACTCCTGGAAAGCAACAATCCACTGAGCACGTGCTGATTGGCTGATATTCTCTCTCCATCTTCTCGGCGGACGATATCTCAAGATTCGTCCCATTCCTTGGCTATCACTCTTTTTAAATCCTTTATATTAACTTCACTTCACTTCCCGTGAAGTGTCACTCCCAGTCTTAAAATATCAACCTCGTAAACATTTGATTGTATGACCTAACGTGTTTTCCACAGTAGCCACTACATTTTTGTAAAGTGGTGATCAAATTTTACATGGTAACTTTACAAGAAATTGTAGAGAAAAATTCCATCCATAAATAACACGAAACTCACGAGTTTTCAACAGATTTATTATTTTTTCCTTCCACCCTGAAGGAAATTGTACAGCTTTAAATCAAAGTGCAAAGACGTTTGAAGTTCTCTTCGTTTTTCAAACAAACACCACTTGGGAATAGACAGGCACTCCCCTCTCGTGAAAGCGAGCATTTTAGCAACACGGCTGCAATTTTTATCGCGCACCAAGTTCTTTGCCCCCCTTAGGGGATTCTCTTTCAGTGGGCAACACACGACAACGCCGACGAGAGAGGCTCGCGTCGGACACACAGCAAATACATAATATATACTTCTAAAGACGTCCAAAAATTAAAGCAAGGGCAGGCGATACCTGCACTCATTATGCATGAAATACAAATGTTTTTTTGGCCAAACAGCAGAAGCGGCAAATGGGATGGTCTGTGAAGCGAGCGTGCGAGCAGGCAGACAGGCCCGACGTGCAACTGCAATGGAGCAACGTAACGCGACGCTGCGACACGCCGTCATCTTACAGGGCCACCAGCAGCAGCAGCAGCGTGACCTACCCACTCGGCTCACTTTGGGATACGATGATGTCAACGCCATCACAGAAACTCCGCACCCCTTCCACCCATTCAATGCGGCTTTAGCGTTACACATCACACGATTCAAATGAAACAGATTCTGACTACAAGAGCTGGACAGAGGTTACCACGACCGTCATTGTTAGTCTTGTTATCATAATATACTGAATTAAGGGATTCGATTCGGTTAAACATTTGCCAATTACTTTCCAACCTAAGAGATGCTGACATGCTGTATTTTTATATATTTCCCTCCCGCACTCTTTCACTCGCATCCCCGTCTCCCCCACCAAACCTCCCCCCTGACAATTGCTCCCATTTCTACAAAAGTCCCGCGTGGTGGCGTGGTGGTGGCGTGGTGGTGGCGTGGTGGTGGCGTGGTGGCGTGGTGGCGGGGTGGCGGCGTGGTGGTGGCGTGGTGGCGTGGTGGTGGCGTGGTGGTGGCGTGGTGGTGGCGTGGTGGCGTGGTGGCGGGGTGGCGGCGTGGTGGTGGCGTGGTGGCGTGGTGGTGGCGTGGTGGTGGCGTGGTGGCGTGGTGGCGGGGTGGCGGCGTGGTGGTGGCGTGGTGGCGTGGTGGTGGCGTGGTGGTGGCGTGGTGGTGGCGTGGTGGTGGCGTGGTGGCGTGGCGTGGCGGCGTGGTGGCGTGGTGGCGTGGTGGCGTGGTGGCGTGGTGGCGTGGTGGCGTGGTGGCGTGGTGGCGTGGTGGCGTGGTGGCGTGGTGGCGGCGTGGCGTGGTGGTGGCGTGGTGGCGTGGTGGCGGGGTGGCGGCGTGGTGGTGGCGTGGTGGTGGCGTGGTGGTGGCGTGGTGGCGTGGTGGCGTGGTGGTGGCGTGGTGGTGGCGTGGTGGTGGCGTAGTGGTGGCGGCGAGGTGGTGGCGAGTCGCTGCGCCACCGTTACGAGTCCCGCCAGCTCTGCTCCACGACGGCGGACACCTTCTTCTGGTACTCGCGCTTGCTCTCCTGGTACAGCTGTGCTGCCAGGCTGTTGGCGGGGCTGTTGGGGTTGGGCTCATCCAGCAGATACTGCAATGACAAAAGACCCCCAAAGGGTGCGCGCATTCAGCAGCGTCAGCGCACTGGCTATGACTGCGTAGTCGCAAGAGCTCGAGTCCATCTACAGGGGTGCAACGTGAACACACGGAAACTCATCACGTTGCTATTATTTAAAGTCTGGAACGGTGGTGCACACATGTAGTCCAGCACATTACAAACAAGGATTGGAAGATCATGTGAACGTGAAACTTCCAAACAATCCGGGCTTTGAGGGAGCCAGGGAATTGAACAAGTAGTTTTGTGAATTGATCCCTGCGGCCGTTTGAGTATTATAAGCCTCGTATGCATAGATTTTTCTCTGGGTACTCGGTCTAAAACTTGTACACAATACATTCCCTTATACCGAATTTGATACACATCCCATTACAGAACCTTCTCTTGAGACACAGGCTTTCCTTCCTAAAATTAGTGACATTGCTGTTATATTTATAATTAAGTGGTGGTAATAGAAAAACAGCAAATGTGTCTACTTTTTTTTGGCAGAGCAGTGTAGTCCTCCTGATCTCTGGCCAGAGTTGTGTCTGGTTTTAACAGAGAACAGCACTCATTGTGGGCCATGGGGGCATACCTAACCACTCTGTTCCACCATGGAGAGCCCTGCATTTGGTTGGGTACCCACGGGTGATTCCGCAGTCCGCATCTGAAACCAAGTAGTTTCTACAGCCTGCCGTTGGAGTGCGAGTCGGACATCAGACAAACATGAACGCGAACCAATCCGCACCCCAACGGAAAGTCGTAAACACAACTTGGTAGCGACCCGCTTTGCGAGTACCCATTGGTGTCCAAACCGACGCAGCACTAATGACGAACGTCAGGGGAAATGCAGTGCGAGCCACCAACCTGAATGGAGGTGAGGATGCAGGATACGTCGAAGGTTGGACTCCACCGGTTCTGCAAGATGTCCAGGCATATACTGCCGTTTGCGTACACTGAATGAAACACATGCAAGTGCTCTGTTAACTCAAACTGCATTTCACTTTAAGTTTTAACATTAAATCTGTCAATCTCGCTTTGATTCCTGGAAACAGCTAACATGAGTGGAGCAATATATTAAGCGGCCCTGGTGCCCCAATTTACCAATCTGCACTGACTAGTATGATGAATTATAATTAAACTACCCCAACGTCTGACACAGTGTGAGGAGGATTGACAAAGGGTTGCACATTTTTTTTTTACAGTGCAAATGAATTATCCTTTTATAACAAATAATTGTTTAATGGAAAGATAAGTGTGACTCAGCTTGCCTGGGTGTTAAACACAAGTCATGTCGACAAATTACAGGACTGCACGCCCCACTTGCCATTAATGAACACCTGTTTTCAAACAGAGTTTGCCAGCACTCAAGGAACATTTTTAATTAGCAGCGTGGAATGAATGTGTCATATTAATCAATAAGGCAGCCAATGAAAAAACCAGGTTCCAATATAACAGCACTTCATAATTAATTGCAATTAAGAATATAGAACATTTTTTCGTCTTACTCGTTGGCATTGTCAAAGGTCAACAGCGAGCTAGTGCAATTAACATTAAACTTTTAATTTCATAGGTAAAAAAAGAGATTTGTTACTTTTAAGCAAGGCAGACACACGAGGAGAACCACAACTCACCATTGGGGTGAAACATTTTTGACACGAATTTCACTGTGGGAGGCTTGTTAGGGTATTCTTCCGTGAACTCCAGCGTCAGCTTGAACGTTCCTGCAAAGCACAACAACAGCGGCCGCAATCAACATCACACCACCAAGAGCAGCAACAGCAGTGCTGTAAATCAGTCTCTTGTCAAAACACCAACTCACTTTGCCTCACAGTTGCTCGCTATAATTTACAAAATCAGCAAGCCTCGATTTAAAGCTTTCGTGACTGCAGGGATTCATCTTCTTGGTTCTTTCGGTAAAGTCATCACGTAGAAGGGAAATAATAAAATAATAAAACATTATAAAATACAATTCTCACGACGTTTCGGCCACAACGCAAGCAGCCGTCCTCAGGTGAAGAACAGGTCTGTCGGACGCTGTCTTTTCGACTTCGGGAAAAGGGGGTTAGCTTCCAAAGGCAAACTATTTATACAGGTTTGAAATGGGCGTAGCCCAAACCAAATGTCAGCAGCCAATGTTAATGCAAGTGGTGGGCAGTCAACCCGAAGGTGGTTGGTTTTCCACCAAAGGGCTACCAGGTGAAAATGAGCATGTTAATGAGAGATTAGCATGTTAATGAGAGATCGCAGAGCCGCAACCGAGGGGTCAGCGCTCGAAGTGGCTGTGTTCGTGTGAATCCTGTGAAAGCGCAAGTTTGAAATGGGCGTAAAGCACAACTAACATCGGAAGGTGGTAGGGATGGGAACATCGTATCCAGTTACGACTTAAACTGGTTGTTAAAGTCCTTCCAATGATTGCTCAGTTTGTACCCATCCTCTAGGTTGAAATTGTGCCTGTGTCTATATATATGGATGGTTTCATTAACGAATCTTTGTTGATAGCCAGTGGGCTTGCAAAGTACCTTCGTCTTAGAAAAATACATTTCGTGTGAGCCCATCGCATTGTGTTGGGATCGAAACGTTGTAGATTTCGTTTTTTTCTTTGAACCTATCTACGTGACTTTACCGAAAGACCCAAGAATATAAATTCCTGCAGTCACGAAAGCTTCAAGTCAAGGCAAGAAGAGGTTCAGGAACCAATTAGCAGCGCAATCGAGAATGCCATTCCACTGATTAACACAGCGGCTTTAACACCATCAACTCACCATCCTCAAACGGAGTTCCCTCGGGCCTGAAAGACATAACGTGAACACAAAGTAAGGATGCGTTTTAGTGGCATACACACAGAATGTGAACACGGATCACCCTGCCCAGCTTCGTGACAAGGCTCGGTCCGTAAAAAGACCACGTGTAGCCAGTAAAGACGACGCAGTAACATTCCTCATCAATTATTAATCATCGGGGTGCATAAAAGCTTGTGACGTTCCATAAATCTCGCCGACGCTTAGGTAACGTCAGGGAGACTACAATCCCAGTTAGAAACTCAGGGTGCACATGTCGTTGGGTATAAGGGACATTCTTGGCACGGAAGTGGATGGTAATACAAGAAGAACGACGGGTGCTTTGGGGTTGCCGTCAGAGGCCCCCCACCTGACTTACCCAAATATAACTGCGTTCCACAGCATCATGTTGTTTCCTGAGGGCGCCCCACTTACTCCTGCCGGAGGGTCCTCCTGTAACCTGAGGAGGGGGAGAGATGTGGGGAACAGGCATTGAGGAATAACATATACAGTGCAGGGAATGCAAAGAAGAATGACACGCCTGATCCAATAACCGTTTCATATTCATGTACCTTTCCCAGAAAACTAAATGTAAAAAACCATAGTGTTTCAACATTTGTATTTTTTGTTCATGTTTTAGAATACAGATGCATATATGTGCCAAAACTACATTACATATGTTATGATCATTATAATATGCATTCAGATTCAGGACAGAATTTAACATTATAAACTAGAATAATACACCTCATAATGAACAAAGTGAGCTGCCCTGATATGCCATTCATGCCGATTACGTGAGATGCCCTCGATGTATCACTAACAGGCAACTCACCCGCGCAGCCACGAAGAAAGGAAACATCCTCATATGCTGATAATAACTTCGACGAGCGGCCATGCCTGCCAAGCGCAGGCATGGCCTGGGCCCCACGAATGCTCCTTAAAGAGTCGGCTCTGAAATCCACCTACTAAGATCTGCATTAATTTCCATCACCAAGGAGGTGCTGTTTTTTAGAATATCTTCTTTACAGAATGTCACCAATTTGATTTGTATTTTCAATTACAATATAAAATGCTAATGACTGCATTTTAATGTCTCAAGAACATGATTACCTCATAATTAAAATATGCAACAAAGCACTGCACTAAACGTTAACACAAAAGTCAGAATAGCAGCCAGCAGCTCATATGGCAATTTTAAATTAATGGATTTCCTACAAGATACTTTACAAGGGACATGGCAAAGTCAACATGAACTGCCAACAAAGGACCTGAAAGTAAATAATTTGCCATTAAAACTAAACTGATGTAAAAGCCACAGATACTAAAATATGGAACGGGTCTTGTTGAAGCCACACACGGAACAGTAAATGTGAAAACGACTCAATTTATTGCATCATGCGGGTCCTGGGTGAGCTGTCAGCTTCGGCTACACAAGAATATGCTCAGAGCCAGCCACGACATTTGTTCTCTTCTCGACATCACGAACACCTTTTAAGGCTCGACTCTGCACACACGTCTAGTACATGTTGACAAGGGCGTTAGAAATCAGCTGACTGCTGGGCAGCTCTGTGTAGCGTGACAAATTGACGCGAATGAAACATCAGCCTCCTTGAATCCAGTCCTGCTCTCACTAGCAACCATCAAGCACAAAGCACAGTCAAGCATATTCTGGGATCACTGAAAAGGTCATCATCATTAAACTCTGACGTAGCCTCCTAGCAGGGCACGAGAATGCAAACGACTAAGAGTGGAAACCACGGTGACAATCAATCCACAATAGCAGGTCTCCTACCCAGCAACAGGTCGTGACCTTCCCGTCTCGTTCACGCCAAACCATACACGTACATTATCCTCCACAATATCTGATGCTCTACAAACATAGGCATTCACTAACGACATCATGCAACTCTTGTCCACCATGTTCAGATTGTCTACAAGCCAGTTCTTACGTAAGGGACCACCTTGCTAAGTATAGCATTGCTCTTCTCCCCTCTCACCCCGAGGGAGTCCAGATAGTCACTCTCATAGAGCACTGGAATATGCAATGGTGGATTAAACAATTCACTCCCAGGACATAAACGTGCAGTGCCCAGCACACTCGACCCAAAAAGCCAGAAAACCACGTTCGGAAAATGTATACTGCTCAACAGTGAAACTGAGCATATGATAACGGAGTCAACTGGTGTGTGGATTGCTAATGACAGAGTAAGGTGTGCATTAACCTTAATTTCTCACATATCATTTGACACGGTGTGAACGGTATACATTGGCAAAGGGGTAAAAAGGTGGGTAGTGACCTTGACTACAACCCGCCTGGAAAAATGTAGAGCAAATACTCCTCTGAAGAAGGAGCCCTAAGTGAGCAAAGCCAGAGCATGTGGAGGACAGGTTCCAAAGCAGCTTGAATCCATGGGAAGGGGGGAAAAGTTAATCCTGTCTTTCCTGCATTGCCCCTTTGCACTGTACGTCACATAAGCATACCCGCAACAAACACAAGAATCCTCACGTAGCCTTTAACAGGCTGATGAAGCAAATGCTGTTGGCGAGTACCTATGAAGACTAGAATTGACAGAAGCTGTGATGTGGCCGTGACCACACTTGGCCACCTTGGTCCCACCGTGGTGGTGTTTACAGACTGCGCCATGTAGTTATGTTGCTATACATACAAATGACACCTACCTTTACATAGCTATAAAGACGCAAACATACATGTTACAGCCCTTTGTCAATCCACTGCTGGATAAAGGCCTCCAAATGCCGTGTCGGTCATTCAGGCTGATCAGTGCGAGTTGGTGAAGGGGGAGGTCTGGGGGTGGCATGCAGCAAGGTTCAGGTATCACACGCCACTGATTTTATACGGGACCCGGAATCGAGCTCAGGTCATCGGCTTCATGGCGAGGTGCCATAACAATTACGCCGATGCTCCACCCCAAACATGTATACACACAAAACACGTGTGTATAGCCATGTGACAGTGCATTTGAATTGTGGAAACAAAACACAAAAAATATAAACACATCATCATTAGTATTCTTGGTTCTTTCAGTAAAGTCACGTAGAAGGGAAACAATAAAAAAATAAAAAAAAATAAAAAATGCTCACGTTTCGACTGCAACACAAGCAATCATCATCAGATGACAGAGTCTGAATTTCAGACTCTGTCTTCTTGACAGACCTGTTCTTCACCTGAGGACGGCTGCTTGCGTTGTGGCCGAAACGTCGTGAGAATTATTTTATTATGTTTTATTTTTATTATTTTATTATTTCCATTCTACGTGACTTTACAGAAAGAACCAAGAAGATGAAGCCCTGCAGTCACGAAAGCTTTAAATAAAAAATGTACGTAATCATTAGCTTCGTATAAAAAAAAATATAAGTTCCAATACGCCTTCTTCCTACATCTGTAGCTACACTTTAACAAATATGAGTCTGTTTTACTCATCCAAAAAATGTCAAACCGGTCCAGAGTTAGCTTGTTTTAACGAATTCTGTTGAAATTCCAACACTCCCAAGAAGGGCGAGTGACTAATGGGGATGTGTAAAAATCACTTGTATTCATGTTTCGGGGCAGATATGCCAAAGAGGGGTAGCATCTCGTTTGCTTATTTATTTTGTTAGAGGATCTAAACAAGCATGGTGTTTTTTTGTAGAATCACGGAATTCTTTTTACTCAGGCATTGCCTACACAGGCCCGTTGCGTAACTTGCGCCGCGGCGAACCCGTCTGAGGTTTCTGAATAACTCTGTACATTATCAACTTGTCTCATCATGGAAGACGTGCATCTTGCGTTTAGGGTGTTTTTTTTTACTCCTTTATATTAAGTTCACTTGCTTGCTTGCTTACGACCGTGCAAATCTTTCGGTCGTTTTTTAACCCACTTCCCGTGATCCAATCGAGCTGACATTTTGCACAGACTCGTTGTGCGTGACAATGTATTTTCGTGAAATTTTTTTCCAAAATTTTACACTTTTTAAGAAAAAAAAAATTTCACTAACACAATCATATATTTTTCCTAAACACAGAAAATTGTGTCAACACATTATAAAAATGAAACTCTTACTCAAGAAAAACAGAAATGAATAAAAAAATAAAACCGATGCCACGCATATAAAGGATTTATAGTGAAAAACTTTGTTTTTACGGGTTAATTTTTTTTTACCAGACTCTTATCGCGCCATAACTAAACAACGTTCGCTATCATACAATGTGACGCACTGCACGGCTGTGACTCGACACTTAACTACATTGGAGGGCCCAAGAAGTCCTATTTACTGTGGCTGCTCACAACGTTTCTAAAAAATTAACCCGTAAAAACAAAGTGTTTCACTCTAAATCCTTTATATGCGTGGCGGCTAGAGTCCTCTCGTCCTCTGGCTTGAGATGGCTGCCACCTATGGGTCAGATGATTGCCTGCCACCATTAAGCAATTGGTAATTAAATATTTAATTTGTTTTCCCTAAAAAGTGTAAAATTTTGTAAAAAAAAATTTCACGAACATTAATTGTCACGCACAACGAGTCTGTGTGCAAAATGTCAGCTCGATTGGATCACGGGAAGTGGGTTAAAAAACGACCGAAAGATTTACACGGTCATAAGCAAGCAAGCAAGCACGCAAGTGAACTTAATATAAAGGATTTTAAAAAGACTCCGACGACGGTCGCTTGGCAATTCTACAAGGCGACGTGAAATATTCCTTGGCAACGTGGATTCTCGAGTGTGGCCCATTGTGTGCCACCGGAATCGTGACCCAAATGTTGACGGTACTAAAACAAATCAAACACCTTGTTGGTTCTTTCGGTAAAGTCACGTAGAAGGAAAAGAATAAAAAATTTAAAATAATAGTTTATCATATTATATTAATATTAGTATGTTTTTTTAAATATTATTTTATTATTTCCCTTCTACGTGACTTTACCGAAAGAACCAAGAAGATGAATCCCTGCAGTCACGAAAGCTTTAAATCGAAAATCAAACACCATTCTAAGCTCTCACCTTTAACCTCTTGATGTTGTTTCAATCTAAAAGACCACGGCTAATCCATGTTTGATTTACAAACTACCAGTGGGAATAAACAACATTACCAGAGTCATGTGATAACCGATTGCTTTTATACAATACGCCCCGTGTTACTGGACATCGTCTGAGAGAGACGGAACCACATATGGATGCGATGTAAATCCACATTTTCCCGTACAATACACTACTGTGGTCGTTAATTCACCCAGGAAAACCTCACTGGTGAGCCTCAAAATGTATTTCACAAGAAGGGTCATGTTTGGCTATGACGGCCAAACCATTTCCTCAAGGAAATACTCTTTTGTGAACGCGACGGTAACAAAGAAACCCTCTGAACGCACTCGGCGGCTTCTCACGACGTCTCTCGAGAGGGAGTTTCAAGCCACACACACGACACCACCAGCACACGTGCACTGGCCATGGGTCTAAAACACCGCGCACCTGTGCGTGCTGTTATACACCTTGTACATGCGAGTCATGCGTGTACCTGAGCCATGTCACACACATTGCATGTTGTTGTTGTTGTTGTTCTAGATTTGAAGCTTTCGTGACTGCAAGGATTCATGTTCTTAGGTTTTGTCGGTAAAATCATGTAGGTAAAAAATTAAAATTTATAAAAGTAAAATAAAATAAAAATATTCTTAGGTTTTTTCGGTAAAGTCACGTAGGTAAAACATCAAAATTAATAAAAATAAAATAAAATAAAGATCACGACGTTTCGGAGGCAACAACTCCGAAACGTCGTGATCTTTATTTTATTTTAATTAATTTTGATGTTTTACCTACGTGACTTTACCGAAAAAACCTAAGAATATGAATCCTTGCAGTCACGAAAGCTTCAAATCTAGAAATAAAATAAAAATCACGACGTTTCGGAGGCAACACAAGCTTCCGTCTTCAGGTGGGATCGTCACAGCCAGATTTGCAGCAAGTCTTGCTGTGACGGTGCCACCTGAAGACGGAAGCTTGTGTTGCCTCCGAAACGTCGTGATTTTTATTTTATTTTACTTTTATTAATTTTAATGTTTTACCTACACGGTGACTTTACCGAAAAAACCTAAGAATATGTTGTTGTTGTTGTTCGCTTACCTTAATGCTTCACGTGGATGTGTAGCGTGTCTAATAAAGCCATTCTTTAAACACTACTAGACTGAATGTACTGCGTATGTGCTATGTGCGGTGCTAGCTACTCAACTCGTGTACAGTATTTATGTTACACATGCACTACGTATGGTACATGTGTTGTAATCTGTACAGTACGTACATGTGTAATGAGCCAGTACGTTACATGACACTGTAATGAGACATGTCCTACGTACATTACACAGTCACGCACCTTGTATCTGTGATAACAGGATCCTGCGGGGTGGGCTGGTAGGAATAATACTTAGTACCGGTACAGAGATATCGACCGGGTATAGAGGAGTTAAAGAAAAAATTACTGTATTCTAGTGTAACGTTAATTAAAAGTGTTTGTTTTGACAAGAAACGCTGTGAGATTTAAAGACTCGTAGTCTTTCATTTCCAACACCACCCTCAACACCACCCCTCCCACGGACGGACGGACGGACACATTAATCTATTGGTGGTCTGGTCCACTTCGTTCCTACCAGTATAACCCCCCCAATCACTCGCTCGTGATCAATAACCCCCCAATCACTCCCTCGTGATCAATAACCCCCCCAATCACTCGCTCGTGATCAATAACCCCCCCCAATCACTCGCTCGTGATCAATATACCCCCCAATCACTCGCTCGTGATCAATAACCCCCCAATCACTCCCTCGTGATCAATAACCCCCCCAATCACTCGCTCGTGATCAATAACCCCCCCCAATCACTCGCTCGTGATCAATATACCCCCCAATCACTCGCTCGTGATCAATAACCCCCCAATCACTCCCTCGTGATCAATAACCCCCCCAATCACTCGCTCGTGATCAATAACCCCCCCCAATCACTCGCTCGTGATCAATATACCCCCCAATCACTCGCTCGTGATCAATAACCCCCCCAATCACAGAAATGCCAAACCCTCCCACGGACGGACGGACGGACGGACACATTAATCTATTGGTGGTCTGGTCCACTTCGTTCCTACCAGTATTAATCTTGGAGCTTACTCACCACTCACCCTCAGCAATCACCCTCAGCACTCACCAATCACCCTCACCACTAACCACTCACCCTCACCACTCACCACCCACCCTCACCACTCACTAATCACCACTCACAACCAACACTCACCCTCACCACTCACCCTCACCACCCTCACCACCCACCCTCCCCCTCACTCTCACCACTCACTCTCACCACTCACCCTCACAACAACCGCTCACCCTCACCACTCTCTCACAACTCACCCTCACCACTCTCTCACAACTCACCCTCCCACTCTCTCACAACTCACCCTCACCACTCACCCTCACCACTCAGCACTCACCCTCACCACTCACCCTCACCACTCACCCTCACCACTCACCCTCACCACTCACCACCCACCCTCACCACCCACCCTCACCACTCACTAATCACCACTCACAACCACCACTCACCCTCACCACTCACCACCCACCCTCACAACAACCGCTCACCACCCTCACCACCCACCCTCACCCCTCACTCTCACCCCTCACTCTCACCACTCACCCTCACCACCCACCCTCACAACAACCGCTCACCACTCACCCTCACCACTCCAATCGTCGCAGGCGTGGACGGACGCAATTATTCCTTTAAAAGAAGAGTGCTGGTGGTGGAGGGAGGTAGGGGGGGACTACCCACTCACCTGCAGATACTTTCCTCGCAACTTCACGGCTGCGGGGCTCGCTATGCTCACAACAGCTGCTGCTGTCGGCAGGCAACGCAGCAGCAGCTGTAGCAGCAGCAGTAGCAGCACTCACCCTCACCAATCACGCTCACCACTAACCACTCAGCCTCACCACTAACCACTCTCTCACCAATCACCCTCACCACTCACCCTCGACACTAACCACTCACAACCACCACTCACCCTCACCACTCACCCTCACCACTCCAATCGTCGCAGATGCAATTATTCCTTTAAAAGAAGAGTGCTGGTGGTGGAGGGAGGTAGGGGAGGACCACCCACTCACCTTCAGATACTTTCCCCGCAACTTCACGGCAGCGGGGCTCGCAATGCTCACAACAGGTCGCTGCTGTCGGCAGGCAACGCAGCAGCAGCTGTAGTAGCAGCAGCAGCAGCAACAGCAGCTGTAGCAGCAACAGCAGCAGCAGCAGCAACAGCAGCAGCAGTAACAGCTGTAGCTACAGCAGCAGCTGCTACAGCGTCTCGGCCTCGACTTGTGTAGCCCCTCCCCCTCTCGCTCTCGAGTCACATGACGTCATCCGTCCCTACGCGCACGCGCTCATTGGCTACAGGATGCGCGTGCGTGACGTCATCACCCAGTGAGGAGTTCGCCGATTGGCTTACGTGGCAATGGAGGGGTGGGGGGGGTTTGTTGTGTCGTGACGTCACCCCCACGGCGGACCAATCGGGAGAGCGGAAAATTCTCGAGGGGGCGTGGCCCCCACGGAGGAGGACCAATGAGACCTCGACTCGAGTTTCTCTGCACGTGACTTCGGGTCAGAGGTCACGTGGTGCGAATGGCGACGTCGAAACTCTCCTCACGTGACCTCCTCTTCCTCCACCTCGCCACGTGCAGCCACGGTGAGTGGTGGTGCAGTGGTTAGCGCACTGTGTGTGTGTGTGTGGGGAGTGGTGGTGCAGTGGTTAGCGCACTGTGTGTGTGTGGGGAGTGGTGGTGCAGTGGTTAGCGCACTGTGTGTGTGTGGGGAGTGGTGGTGCAGTGGTTAGCGCACTGTGTGTGTGTGGGGAGTGGTGGTGCAGTGGTTAGCGCACTGTGTGTGTGTGGGGAGTGGTGGTGCAGTGGTTAGCGCACTGTGTGTGTGTGGGGAGTGGTGGTGCAGTGGTTAGCGCACTGTGTGTGTGTGTGTGGGGAGTGGTGGTGCAGTGGTTAGCGCACTGTGTGTGTGTGGGGAGTGGTGGTGCAGTGGTTAGCGCACTGTGTGTGTGTGGGGAGTGGTGGTGCAGTGGTTAGCGCACTGTGTGTGTGTGGGGAGTGGTGGTGCAGTGGTTAGCGCACTGTGTGTGTGTGTGTGGGGAGTGGTGGTGCAGTGGTTAGCGCACTGTGTGTGTGTGGGGAGTGGTGGTGCAGTGGTTAGCGCACTGTGTGTGTGTGGGGAGTGGTGGTGCAGTGGTTAGCGCACTGTGTGTGTGTGGGGAGTGGTGGTGCAGTGGTTAGCGCACTGTGTGTGTGTGGGGAGTGGTGGTGCAGTGGTTAGCGCACTGTGTGTGTGTGTGTGGGGAGTGGTGGTGCAGTGGTTAGCGCACTGTGTGTGTGTGGGGAGTGGTGGTGCAGTGGTTAGCGCACTGTGTGTGTGTGGGGAGTGGTGGTGCAGTGGTTAGCGCACTGTGTGTGTGTGGGGAGTGGTGGT